GCAATTTCAACCACCGCCCCCCCCCGCAGCCTAAAGTAGGGGGGACCGGTAGGGCGATTTTTGGAATAGGCGGCTGACCTACCGGTAGCAGGGACCACGACCTGTGGAGGGGTCTGAAACGTGCCAGTATGTACAGCGCCCGTAGAAAAAGCAAGTTTTTTTTTTTTCTTTTCTTTGAGAAGCATTTAAAAAAATAATAATAATAATACTAAAAAAAAAGAAAAGAAATGCTTCAGAATCTCAAAAAAAGAAGCATTTCGAAGTGGCTGCTCGCTGGTTCAGCAACGCACGGTGACTTTCGTTTTGCCCATGGCGACGGGATGATTCGGGGCATAGCTGCACTACTTTAGAAATTCGCAAAACGAGAGCGAATCTTCCGCTAGAGTATGGAAAGATACACCGCCATGAGTTTTGTCTGTTGTGCATGTCGAGGCCCTCTCTCCTGTTTTGGACAGGAGGGATTCGTGGAGCGAAACCCTCTCCGTTTCACGGTGGTACCCCGTCAGTCCTGCAGTCACCTACGTAGGCCGAGTTTTTAAAATGAAATCGTGAACTTTTTTTGCTCCTTTTTTTTTTTTTTTTTTGCCCTTGTGAAAATTGTCGGCGACCTCCCTCCATTTCCGGCCCTAACTCCCTGGGAAGTCGACTTTAGGCAATGAGTTGGGCCCTAACAGCCCCCGAGAGTCCTCATGAATTCTTTAACGTCGCAATCAGGACGACGATCACAGCCAGTAAGCAGTTCAGACCCCAACTAGAAATGTTTATAGACGGTCTGGGAGCGTCTACATAGGACTGGTCAGTCCGCACACCCCGTCTATCAGCGCAGCAAAGAGCCTCAATGGACAAAGCAGCATGGCCTGCGTGTACTACTACCCATGGGTGGGCATGGTGACCGTGACCTGTGCTTTGACCAGGGCCCTTCAGAGGCATTGACCTCTCCTGCCACGTGCGCCACCGAGAAGAATGTCGTCTCTCAAGGTAGAGCGCACACGACTCCTCACCAAAGAGAGGACACTCAATTTGGACTCACATCCTCACGGTAAGAAGAGATTGAGAGGGTAGATAAGGAATGGGAACAACCACAAGGCAATGCAGTGCCACCTCAGCCAAAATGCCACGTCAGCATACTCTCATCATCATACATACATCGGTTGTCGCCACAACTCCCATGCTGTTGCCACAGCCTTCCAGCGGTCGAACCCTCTACCTGGGCCCCGCTCAATCAAACCAGCGCAAAAGTATCCTTACTGCACATGAAGCATCGTCAACGCACCAAGTAACAATGTCGTTGGTGCCAGGTAAGCGGGGATCATGAACCAGCTCCGATACCAAATTGCAAGGAATATGAGTGTGAACGATATACAGAAAGCCAAGTTGCGAAATACAGAGAGTACAAATGCACCAAGAAAACCATCCATATAGAGCAATACAATGAAGTAATGAGTCAATGTCCAAGCCCGTAGGCCACACAAACACATAATCCAAAGTCGCTACTCTTTGTTTGACGCCCAACGCCCAGCCTACTCTACCCGACTATCCTACCTACAACTGTGTTCACGCAACAAGCTCACTTCGACTCTCAAAGACCGATGTACATGACTGTCAACTCCATAGCCGACCTCTCTTCATGCACCAGGTACGTATCTCATCACCCTCAATTAGACCTTGATTACCCCACACTCGCCTCCTTCCGTGAAGACCACCAGATCGCCCGCTGCACCCCTTGGCGCCCAGCACTATTGCTGCTTGAGCCTCGCTGCCCTGCAGTGCCCCTCCTCACCACTATGCGCCCCGTCAGCGCCATTGGCAGCAGCGCAGCATCAAGCGCTGGCCAGAATGAGTGGCCTGGGCTGCCTCACTTCTTTTATGGAAGTGGCAACCTCCTAGATGCTGCGGGTGGCCTGGCTGGAAGCTTCCAGTAGCTTCTGATTGGGCCTCAGACCCCGCACCCAGGCCCGAGACTACAGTCGAGGGTTTGGGCCCTTTTCAGTTGGGCATGACCTGAGTCGTCAGTCTTGGGCTGTTTGCTGCATCTGTGCAGGGTTCCCAGGCAGGTGCGTAGGCAGTGCTGCTTTTCCAAATGTATTGGCCCTGCTTTGTGTATGTGCCCAGGTGCAACTGTCAAGGCCTGGGCCAACTGTATGACGCAGCTTAGTGAGGCTCACACATCTACCCAACCAACTGGCGTGCTGCGAGAGCCTGAATACCCACATATGGAAATGTCGAATTTTGGCCTCTGACGAATATTCAGGCCCGCCTTCACTTAGGGCTGGCACTCGGCTTGCTGGTGGCCTTAGCCTAGAACATGTGATGTCTGATAGGGCCCCTTGAGGGCTTGTTCCTCACAATATTCAATGGTTGTTCAGAGGGGCCAGATTTCATATGTCGTTTTTTTTGCTGCCGGTGGGTTTTGGCAGGGGGGAGGGGCCGAGCGGAGGTTGGAGGGAGGAGACGATGGTCGAGGGAGGTGATGATGAAGGGAGGAGGATTGTGGATGAAGGTGATGGAGGGAGGAGGTGATGGTGGAGGAAGGTGATGGAGGGAGGAGGAGGTGGTTGGAGGACGAAAGAGGCGATGGCAATTGGATAGAGGAAGAGAGAGGGGATGGTGGAGGGAGGTGATGGAGGGAGAAGAGGGGTGTTAGAGGGAGGATGGAGACGATGGACAAGGAGGGAGGTGGGGGCCGATGGAGAGACGTCGGAGGCAATGGACGATGAGGGACGAGGCGGGCGAAGAAGGGAGGAGGGATTTGGTAGGCTGGGAAGTTGTGGACATGGGGGGTGCAGTGGCCCAGGGGAGGTGATGGTAGGGGGAGGTGATGGAGGGAGGAGGCGATGGTGGAGGGAGGTGATGGAGGGAGGAGGCGATGGTGGAGGAAGCTTATGGAGGGAGGAGGTGATGGTGGAGGAAGCTTACGGACGGAGGAGGCGATGGCGGAGGAAGCTTATGGACGGAGGAGGCGATGGTGGAGGAAGCTTATGGAGGGAGGAGGCGATAATGGAGGAAGCTTATGAAGGGAGGAGGCGATGGTGGAGGGAGGTGATGGAGAGAGGAGGGAGGTAGTTGGAGGAAGAAAGAGGCTATGGAGGGAGGAGGAACACGATAGAGGAAGAGAGAGGCGATGGAGGGAGGCGAGATGTGATGGAGGAAGAGGAAGATGGGCGGCGATGGAGGGAGAATGGAGGCGATGGCCGAAGAGGGAGGCGGGATGTGATGGAGGGAGGAGGGATTCGGTAGGTGGGGAGGTGGTGGATGTGGAGCGGGCTGACTTGGCAGCTCTCCCTCTCCCTCTCTCTCCCTTCTGTCTCTCTCTTTGTAGGGTTCCGTCACCTTCCAAGGCTTCCTTTTCATATTGTCTCTGGTCCCTATGCGCTGTATGCGAATATGGCAGAAGGGGAGAGAGAGGGAGAGGGGGTAGCGGATGCCGTGGGAATATCACTCGAAAGAGCGGCGAGGCTGCATGATGGCCTCTCTCTCTCTCTGTCTGTCACACACACACGTGCACACACACACGGATAATAAAAGAGGAGGAGGGGGTAATGGATGCTGTGGCAATGTCACTCAAAAGAGCGGTGAGGCTGCATGATGCCCTCTCTCTCTCTCTCTCTCTCTCTCTCTCTCTCTCTCTCTCTCTCTCTCTCTCTCTCTCTCTCTCTCTCTCTCTCTCTCTCTCTCTCTCTCTATCTCTCGCACACACACACACACACACACACACACACACACACACACACACACACACACTGAACAACACAAACATGGCCAACCTTGTATTTTCTATTATATTGTCTATCTATACTTTTTCGTTGTGGATGGTTTGTTATCATTTGTGGTCGAAATGAGAGAAAATTTGGGGTGCTTTAACAACACACACAATGATGACGATGGCCACGACGATGATGAAGAAGAAGAAGAGGATGAAGAAGAAGACACACACTTACCTTCAACAATGGCGGGTGACACTTACCTTCAACACGTGATGAGAGTGTACCGGCGTGATTTTGCCTGGGCGTTCGAAATTGAATGCCCACTGCCCATGCGAAATGGTGCGGGTGCACTGTAGTAACGGGTGCATTTTCTGGCCGTCAACAACCAGAAATCATGGTTTCTTTTTTGCTTTAGGGCTGCCTGTAGAAATGCGCCAGGATTTTTCATTTTTTAGCTTGGGGGCTCCGCAGGGTCGGAGGTGGCCCCAGGACCCCGACCGGGCCTCATGCCCAGCTGGGCGCCAGGGCGCCAACCCGGGCTGGAATTTGGACGTGGTTGCCCCGGATTGCGGCCTAGGAGAAGAAAACTTTTTTTTTTTTTTTTTTTTTTAGTACAAGGAAAATGAGCAATAGCGAGATGATGACATCCAGATTGCTCAATCACATTGAGATCCAGAAAGTATCAGTGTGTCCAGAAAGCAGCATTGCACCAATATAACACCAATGGAGAATTGTAACACTGAAAACCAAATGTCAATGAGAGCTTGCTCTCGCCATCACCAACATAAGTATCCGGGCCCTTCTCCCTACCTGGCGCTCGGCGCCCAGCCTACTCTCTGCACAGCTACTATCTGTCTACGAATTGACAATGCAACTGTTGACGTCAGCAGCCAACGAAGTACTTGCACTGTTGACGTCAGCAGAATGAAGTACTTGAAGATGTCTACCAATGCAGACCATCGCCAATACCAGGTATGTGCCCTCACATCCTTCTCTCTTCCTTGACTTTCACCCACGTCTTCCCTTTGTACACCCGAAGACCACCCTGCGCCTTGCTGTACATCCAAGCCCCAGCCAGCTATGAAGGCTGGGCTATGGCGCTGCCCTCAGCAGCGCCCTTCCTCGTACACCACCACATGTGCGCAGCATCTTGCCGTAGCGCAAGCAGCAGCCCACGAGACTCCGCTCCAGCAGTGCTGCCGCTAGCTTGCAAGTGCCCGAATGCTCCTCCAGGCAGCGAGCTCTTTCCTATGTGGAAAGAGTCTGCCTGCCCCGGCAGCCGGGCTGTGCTGGGCCTATGCCCAGAAGCTTCCGGTAGGCCCCAGGACGCTGTACCTCTGCTGCAGCTGCTGGACCTCGTTCAGTTAGGCTCCCCAACTGTCTGTGTATGTTGCTGCGATTCCTGCCCAGGGCCTGCATTGTAGAACGCCTAGAAGAGCGTGGGAAGGCTTCGCTGTTCGGGCCTGGGTTCCCTCAACCAACTGACTCGACACAACTGCGTGGATGCCAAATACGAAATTGGCAGCATTGGGCCTCTCGTGATTTGTCAGGCCCGCCTTCACTTAGGGCGGGCACATCTGTATTAGGGGCCCCTCAGGCCTGCCAAGGAGCCAAATCCTTGCATTCCCTTCTTCTTTACTTGTCCCCTGAGAAGTCTTTTAATCTGCAGGCAACTTTCCCTTGAGTTCTCTTTCGTAGCCTGCAATCACTTGAGGCTCTGTTCGCTGGAGTTCTTCTCTAGTGAACCACAGATCTTCAGTGGGATCAATATGGTGTCTGAATCTGACACGGCATCCTTAGCTTTGGAGGACAGCCTCCGCTGGGAGGTTTAGGCACTGGCATCATTTGATGCTCCACGATTCCGTCGATGTAGACTTCACCATCCATGGTTGGGGACAGCATTGACTGTCTGGAGGGAAACTGTGTGGTCTTTGTGAAAGGTGCCATCTTTGAGGCGTGAAAAACTGGGTGTATGCGGAGGTGAGGTGGGATGCGAATCACGTAGGAAGGTCCGTCCATCTGATTCCCAACTATGTCTAGGACCTCCCAGGTACCAAAATACTGTGGCATTAGTTTTCTGGAAATTCCCAATTCCTGTCCCAGTTCAGATGACTTTACCCAGACTTTGTCCCCTACCTGAAAGTTGTCCTCAGATACAATCATAGCATATTGAGACTTCCTAATGTTTTCAACGGCCTGCTGCAGCATCTGTTCGCACTTGACAGAAAATTCTATGCTGCCAGGTGCTGCAGTTGCCTGGTTTCCAGGCAGTAGGAAATCAAGGGCGGATCTGGGCTTCCAACCAAGATGCAGTTGGTTGGGAGTCTTGCGAGTAGTGTTGTGCACAGCGTTGTTGTACAGGCTGGCGACGAGAGGCAATTTCTAGTCCCAATGATCCTAACTTGGCTTGATGTAATGCCTTAGTAGGTGCTGCACTACTCGGTTCATTTGTTCAGCCTGCCCGTTTGACTCAGGGAGATTCCCTGACGTCATCTGCAGTCTGGTTCCCATGTGTTCGACAGTGTTTTGCCACAGTTCACTGGTAAAGCGGGCATCCCTGTCGCTGACAATGGACTTGGGTAATCTAGAGTCCCGCACCTAGTTATCCATGAACAATCGGATGACGTAGTCAGTTTTGGCAATTTTTGGCATAGCGATTAATCTTGCATACTCGGAAAACTGGTCCACTATAACGAAGATGCGTCCTGTCCCACTGGCCAGGACACACCTTTTTGCATGGAGTCCACCTTGGCCATGGACACACCTTGGCCAGGACCTTCAGGGATCAGCAAGGGCTTTGATAAGCCCTAGCGGAGCCCGAGTCCTAGGTTTGTCCCGTTGGCAAACCTGGCAGGTTTCCAGATACCTTTCTGCATCTTGCATCATAGAGGAGCAAACCTGGCAGGTTTCCAGATACCTTTTTGCATCTTGCATCATAGAGGGCCACTAGAATCTCTGCACTAGGTTAGCTGATGTCTTTTTATAACCAAAGTGCCCAGTTGCATCATGACATTCGCCTGAAAATAAACTACGCAGGGACTCTCTACTCGTAACACAATCTGTTATTCCCAGCCTTTTCAAGAAACAGTAGGCCATTAACCACTGTAAACTCATCAGAAATAGCCTTGTCTTTAGCTTCTAACTTACGAAGGATCTCTGACATCATTGCGTCTTCCTGATAAGCTTCCACCAAGGATCTAGTTATATCGTAAAATATACCAAACTCGGTTATTAGCGCGCCCAGATAACATGCCCTCCGAGATAGCGCATCAGCTACCTTGTTATACTCTCCCTTTATTGGGTCAAGCTGATAGTCATACATGTCTATCACTTGGATCCACCTTTCGAGTAAAGTCTTGATCCAACGCAAAGTCTCATGGTCAGATCTCAAGTAAAAAAATCTGCCTAGGAGGTAGTGTCTCCAATTGACCATGCTTTATAGAGGGCATAGAGCTCACGCTCATACGTGGACTTTAGAGATGGCATCTTCTTGCTCATATACTCGATGGGCCTCCTTTTGGGCAAGGACCGTGCCGATGCCATATTGGTTGGCGTCTGTGGTCACTACAAATGG